CTCGATCAAATATTGTTTTTTAGTAAAAAAATTATTAGCTAGGTACAACTTCCACCCGACCTTGGAATATATTACAAGAATGGTACAGATGCGACATTAATCAATTGGTCATGTTGATGCATAATACTTGTCTATCCACAAAAGAAAAATCACAAACAAACTAATCATTCACTTATGGTGAAGCAAATATTAATTACTACATCATCAAATCATGTAGAATTGATTGCTCTTTATGAAGTAGATCGAGAATGTGTCTGTTTGAGATCAGTGACATAACACATGCAATGAATGGAGTATATTTTTATTTACATGTGACCGTACTGTGATTTATGAAGATAACACAACAAGCATGTATAGCCAAAATCAAATGAGGTTACATCAAAGGGGATAAAACAAAGCATGAATCACCAAAACTTTTCTCCACACATTATCTTGAGAAAGATGGAACACTTGATGTCAAACAAATAGGTCATGCAACAACTTTGCTAATTCGCTCTCAAATTGTTGCCCCTGAACAAATTTGAGGAACTTGTCCACAAAATTGGAATTTGTCCTCTTCAAGATATATGTTAAATTGTGGAGGGGTATTATACGCACCGCACTTTTTTCCCTTCATTCATAGTTTTATCCACTAGATTTTTCCCGACAAGGTTTTTAATGAGCCAATACATTATAATACTATATGATCAAATGTTTAACTATGATTTTCATCTCACTGTGATAATCACAATAAAGGTTTTAATGAGACAACTAATATCCCGTATAACTTGAAGATGACCATTCAAGAGGGAGTGTTGAAATACAATTGAATTAATCATCTTTTAACTACTCATGATTAGGAGAATTATTATCATCATTATTAAAGTAATTAGAAAATCATAATTATGATTCCAAGATGATAATTGTGTGACTCACAATTATCACCTAATCCAAAGGAGCTTAAGTTTTCTTCTATAAATAAGAGTTTTCTCCTCATGCAAAAGTTAAATTTATCTGGAAAGAAAAATCACTTATATTAATATCACTAAGATTCGGATCGTTACAACAAACTCAAAGAGACCAACACTGGTAACAACTATCTGTAACCAACTAGCACTATCAAGTATCAAGTATCAACCCTATAGTTGAACTTAGAAACGACCACCCCTGAAAGAGTACTACGAATCGCTAACCACCAAACAGGCGCGACACAACAATCATTAACCATATAGATCCTTCTAACGACATAATATCTAGCAGAACTGTCGATCATTATCATAGACCTAAAACTAAAGACATCAATAAAAATAGAGGAACGTAAACAAACATAACGCGAAAATAAGACCATAAAAAATAAAATAACTGATAAATAGTCCAAGCTCATTCCAACAAGTTTTCTTGAAGGATCATCTTCCAAACTTTATCACCCCGATCACTCCAGGCCAACATACCGCTGATTTGTCTTCTCCCTTGCTCGGGATTAGACTCGAGCACCCCTAATCGCCTCCACCCTGAGGTGAAATCCATCCAAACAGGGCCTAATCCAGTCACCCCATTCATTTGTTTCATGCGCACAACACAGTCCCAATCCCCCCTACAATCAAGTCGAGCGGAATTGACCAAACGATTTTTCTTTGAATGTATCAATCATAGACCTCCAAGTTCGATCCATATTAGTACGTTCAGAAGCATAAACCATAGAGAAGTAGAACGTGCTTACAACTGACATTCCACCGTCGTTCCAAATCATTCGCGGAATAAAAATCGGTGCAAGCCGCCTGCCAGACAAAACCAAAACCTAGATGTATTCTGAGTAACCCAACTTTACTACTACGTATGTGTTTGTAAAAGTTAGTTTAAGAATCACTCTTTTAAGAGTATTAATTAATTAATAATATAATAATCTCTCCCGCTAATTGTATGCTTATTTCTTTCCATTTAGTGAGAAACACAGCCTTTTGTTTGGCTGTTTTTTCAAACTTTAAAATTAATAAGGAAAGTCGAACAATATTGCGCTGTACTAACTACTACTCCGTAACTACTAACCATTTTTTTAACACGCCGTACAAATAATTAAGAAAATATAAATGAGACAATTGAAATATAGTTATACGAAATACAATTATGAACATGTAAATTCTTACACAGTAATTCACCCAAAAAAACACTTCCAAATCCTGAGAGAGTATGGTGTTTTAGGTTTAATCTGACCTATTCCAACTTTCCACGCTGGCAATTAATTATTCTACCGGGAGTAGCAGGGGTACTTAGGAGGTAATCTGACCTATATGCTTCTTTTTAACAAGTATGCGGATGTATGTGATGTTTTTAAGAGTATATGGGTTAAGTGATGTTTCAAACAAGTGGAGGGGCTTATGTGACCCTTTTCTCCATAGATAATCATCATTTACAAATCTTAAGTTTATGATGATTAGTTTATTTTTAGGAGACAGAGATATGTATGGTAATACAAAGAATAATATTTTACACGTGACAATGAACTTATTGTTTTTCTTAAGGGAAAAGTGTCAAATTGGTCCTCGAACTTTCATAAAAAAGTCAATTAAGTCCTTCTATAGGAGACTCTGACCGGCCGACACGATTTGAGCGATTCTCGGTGAAATTGCTTGATAAAATTTTTTGAGCAACTTATTCATCAAGTGATGGTTTTAAACAAGTTGAGGGGTTTATGTGACCCTTTCCTCTATCTTTTTTAAGGAAAGCAAAAACATTCTAATTCTTGAAAGATAGATTATGCCTACCAAATTTTAAGTTTAAAATTCAATCTGAAAGTCAATTACATAAATTATTGAAAAATAGTGTCAAAAATATAAAAAACGCAATGTTTATTAATAATTTAATTAATTGACTTCCTAATAAAATTTAAAGCTATAATTTGATTGAGATGCATGTCCTAAATGTATCTGCTGAAGAAAAAGTTTAAGGCGGGTGATTTAGACCTGTACAAAACCGGGCCGGTCAGTCCGGTCCGGTCAGCCCGCCCGCACAAATTAGCGGGCTTGGGCACATATATTTACCCACCAGCCCGGCCCGCAACAACATATGAGCGGGCTTGGGTAAGGGTGTAGACCCATTCGGGCTAATAAGCCCGGTCCGCTACATTTAGTATATATACATATACTTCGTATATTTTTATATATACTAATTTATGTATTATTTACATGTACACATGCATGTGTATTTTTATATTTACTAATTTATCTATACACATATTTATAGTTTATTATGTTTAAATTTAAGTTTTTTAGTTCTCAACAAATAGTCCAACCAATATAATATCTATTTTTGTACTTAAAGATAATACTTTGTGTTTGAATTTTAAATTTTAGATATACTTTCTCATTATTATTTTTGGGTAAATATTTTTTGTGTATGTGATGAAAGGCCTATATACATTATAAGTGTAAGAGCAATTTTTAAATGTTGTAATATTATTTATAAAGTATTAAATAAATTATATAATTTTGAAAAATTTAAAGTTTTCCCGGGCCCGGCGGCCCGGTGTATTTTTTTTCATATTTACACTTTTTCCTATAATATAATACGTATTTATTATCTCTTCTATATTTTTACCTTTTTAGTATTTTGTAGACATTAAATTTGGTTATTTTGATTTACATTTGATAAAATATGAGATTACACTTCATATTGGAATATTTGTTTCTACATGTGTGAGTTATATTTATTGACAATTTGTGGAGTTACATCTGCTTGTATGCGAGCTACATCTTTTTATAAGTAAGTTACATCTTAATACATTTAGATTTGCTTCAATAAGTTACATATTGCATACACATAAGTTAAATTTTCTATCAACGCGAGTTACATTTTTCATAATACGAGCTACATCACAAAATAAACATCTACTATTGAAACAAAAAAATCATTTCTTTATTTGCATAAAATTATTTTTTTTGCAAAAGAAAAACATATTTTTCCCCAAAATTTTTTTTGGCAAAATTAAGATTTTTCCAGAAACAATTTTTTATGGTCTTAAATATTAAAAACAAGACATATTCACAAATTACGTAAAGTAATTAAGCAATTAGACTCTTTGTTTTCATTGTTTACATTTGATAGTATATGGAATTACATCTTCTTGTAGGCGAGTTACACATTGTTATGGTGAGTTATATCTTAGACTAAAGGGTCAAATAGGCCCTTGAACTAGTTTAAAGTGTTCAATCAGCCCCTTATATAGCAGGTTCTGCCCGGCCGTCGCCAATTGGGGCGGTTCCAAATGCCATTTTTCGATGATTTTTTTTAGCATCTTCTTCATCAAGTCTAGTTTACACATACCAAATTTCAACTAAAAATTCAACTGGGAATGCAGTCAAATGATTTTTTGAAGATAACTGTGCAGTTAAACAGCGAAGTACATTTCGGAAAATCATTTGACTGTCTTCCCGATTGAATTTTGAACTGAAATTTGGTATGGTTAAACTAGACGTAATGAAGAAGATGCTCAAAAAAATATATCAAAAGATTCCACCGGGAACCGCTCCAATTGGTGACGGTTGGGCAAAACCTCATATATAAGGGGCTAATTGAACACTCTAAACTAGTTGAAGGGCCTATTTGACCCTTTATGATAAACAAACTCAATATCTTAAAAAACCTCTAAAAACATATACAGAGATAAAATTTATGTGAGAAAAATATATAAATATAACTTACACATGTAGAAATATACTTCGTATATCACACATAAAAATGTAACCTCATATTTTGTAAATGTAAATCAAAATAACCAAATTTAATGTCTAAAAACACTAAAAACATAAAAGAGAGATAACAAATATATTATAGGATAATAAAAAACGTTAAAACCGTATGGTATTTGGGATCAGTATACCATGCGCATGGTATACCGATCCCATGGTATAATTTGCCCAAAAAGACCATCAATGTTTTGTTTTCTTATTGTTTTAATGTTAGAAACTGATGTAAGCGCTTTATATGATGTAAGCCAAAACACACTAGAGAAGATATAAAGGGCCATCAATCATAATAGAAATTGAGTAGACTGTAGAGCTAACCTGGGTAGATAACCAGATAAATAGGAGCTTTTTTACAGGGGGTTACCAAATAGATAAATAGTAGCTAGCACAAAGCAGTTATATGAGGGTTACAAAATAGATAAATAGGAGCTTGCATAATTGCAGTGCTATGAGGGGGTTACAAATATATAAATACTAAATTCAACGATACAATGGTACAAACATAAATTAACGAGGATTGAGTCTCCTGCAACTAGAAGGACGACTGCTGCAAAAGAATTTCTTCATTATGCTCGCTGTTAGAGGGAGGTGAGGTCCCGTGAAACCCTTTGGGTAGTCAAACCATCCGATGCGAAAACCACCAGAGGGCGGATGCAGGACCTTATAATCTACGTGACAACAAGAACAGAAATTGTTCGCTGTTTCGGGATCAACTATGTGCACATTAATATTAAGAGGAGTGTTAGTAATGGAAGTGCAAAAGTATAACAAGATTCTTGGAACAAAAAATAACAAAATTTTTCTTGGATGCTTGACTTTAACCAATATAGACTCGCACCATATATGTATTCCTTTGTGTAAATATGTTTAATGGTGCTGGATTATATTCCAATATGTACTCATATCTGACATATACATAATTTTTAAATCATATTACGTAGAGACTTAGGTGTAGCAATTTGGTCGAGGGACGAGTAGCGAGAACAACCGAGTACTCGACATTAGTCGGTGAACACTCACCCCTATATTAATTAATTTATTAAATATAAATATCCAAAATTGTAGTAACATATTATTCTTACAATTCTTACATATAATTAAAATAATAATAATAATAATAATAATAATAATAATAATAATAATAATAATAATAATAATAATAATAATAATAATAATAATAATAATAATAATAATAATAATAATAATAATAATAATAATAATAATAATAATAATAATAATAATAATAATAATAATAATAATAATAATAATAATAATAATAATAATAATAATAATAATAATAATAATAATAATAATAATAATAATAATAATAATAATAATAATAATAATAATAATAATAATAATAATAATAATAATAATAATAATAATAATAATAATAATAATAATAATAATAATAATAATAATAATAATAATAATAATAATAATAATAATAATAATAATAATAATAATAATAATAATAATAATAATAATAATAATAATAATAATAATAATAATAATAATAATAATAATAATAATAATAATAATAATAATAATAATAATAATAATAATAATAATAATAATAATAATAATAATAATAATAATAATAATAATAATAATAATAATAATAATAATAATAATAATAATAATAATAATAATAATAATAATAATAATAATAATAATAATAATAATAATAATAATAATAATAATAATAATAATAATAATAATAATAATAATAATAATAATAATAATAATAATAATAATAATAATAATAATAATAATAATAATAATAATAATAATAATAATAATAATAATAATAAAGCCTAATGAAGAAACAAGAAAGAAGATACAGCCATAGGGGAGAATGACTTACCAAGAGATGAGGAGGAACCACTGCTGGAACGAGTAAAACACTTGTTAACATTAGTTTTCAATTTATAAAATACCCACATGATTAAGGTTGGTGATTAACTAGGTTACTCCCTTGGAAGTGGACTGGTTCCTAGCGGGGCTACCCAATTGTTCAATCAACAATCTGGCCCGGCGGTGTTAGGGGGCCACCACGTTGATTCGCCCGTCGGCGATAGTGTAGGATGCTATTAGCGGGGTTAGGGTTGGAGTGCAGGCAGGGTCTTTATCAGCGATTAAAGGTTTGGGGTGTAGGACTGTTAACAGGATGTGGTCTTGGCAAGCCAGATACAGAATTTACAATTGAGTCAGAAAGTTTACTGGTATGCGAAGTGCAGAAGATGCTTCTCAGTTGAAGGAGATTGAGGACTGTATTGGACAGCGTCTTTCATTTGCTGGCAATAGGCAAAAGGTCTTGAAAGGGGCTTTTGCTAAAGTCACATATTTGCAGGGATTTTCTCTTGCACAAGATACCGTCAGGGAAGATTTCTACATAGTGATTTACAAATGGCTTTCTGCAATTTCAAAGGCGACCCTGGACGAAGGCTAGGGTTGCGAGGCCTGAGTTTCCTATGATTGGTTTGGCTATGTTGGCTGTGATGGTGACTGAGATGGGAGTTGTACCAGCTGTGTTTGATTCAGGTGGAACACTGTCGGTATGGGTCCTTACTAAAGGAGGTGAGTTTGGACTTCAATCGGCTGTTGGGGGATCGGCGTGGTTGTTTTGGCCACCTTAGGTGCTGGAGGAAGAAGATGGGATGTGGAATGTGGATGATCCATCTCCCTCCTGAACCACCTCTGTAGAAGAATCATGCGACTAAGGCCAGAAAGATGGCGACACAACAGTTATTTATTTATTTTTGTTGTCTTGTTTGCTACTCCCTCCGTCCCTAAAAGAACTTCCATTTCGCTTTTCGAGAGTCAATTAAATTACTCTTAAACTCTTACTTTATATATCAAAACTTTATGAATATTGAATTTTGTTGCAAGTTTTGTAGCTGGTTTAATGTAGTTTCTGAATATGTAAATTTTATTTACTAAAAATAATCTGAGTTTTCATAGGAATCATTTAACTTTATCGTTGGTCAAACTTTGTAACCCGCAATTGGAACAACATTTAGGGACAGAGGGAGTAATATTTATTTTGGTTTTATTAGGTCAAATCAAATAATAAAGGTGATAGGCTCTTAGTTTGGTTTTCTTTAGTCATTAGATTTTTGTTGAGAGGCAATCAGGCTGATTCAGCTGCTAAGACCATTTGGAGTGGTGCAAGAGTCTAAATGTAAAAAATGGACTCCGTCGATATGAAATCAGTGTTTTGACTCTTATTCTCTGCATTCCAGCATCGTCAATTAATACGCTTTGCACATCTTTTTACATATCAATTTAGTAAAATATTAATGAAATTATTATAATTAATGTTTTCCTTTTAACTTTTTCTCTGATTGATTATAAAGTAAAAAATGACACATTTCGATGTAAAAAAATTAAATTTCATTGATTTTTCTTTTTGCGGAATTGTGTTTATCTGATTAATTACCAAATTTTTTTTAATATGCCGTTAGTAGTGCTAGCTGACGTCATGATGACGTCAGCAAGCTGCATAACACCCCTGCCTGCCCATCTGCTCCCCGCCTGCGCACAGCAGGTACGCCCCACTCCCCTTTTTCTTTTCTTTTCCATTAAATTTTGGATGTCTAAAAATCCTCCAAATTTAACCTCTTCCCTCCCCAAACCAATTTATAATACCCTCTACAGTCAACCAATGCATAAAATTAGGAGTCCAAAAATGGCATTTTTAACATTTTGGACTCCTAATACCTCACCACTCCAAATGGTCTAATAGCCTCAAAGTTCTCACATTTTCAACGACTAGTCTCGCTCCTGTTAGAATGGATTTCTCTATGCCTCATGAAGAGGTGAGGGGGGTGGTGGGATTCCGGTTATGTTTGTTTAGAGGGAGATTAGTGTCGGGTGATTACTTTTATGTTTTGCAATTTCTGTTGGATGTACTTCGAGTTTTGATTTAATATAGTATACCAGTTTTTGTTTCAAAAAAATATCCACATGATTTATAATGTCATAAGATCCCTCTTCAATTAAAACTTTTCAGATTTAACCCCAAAAAATATTATGGCTGGCCACATATACTAACGGGAAAAACAGGATGGGTCAAGATGGATTGCTAAACAGAACAGCCACCCATGAGTTGTGAGTACTCGCCCAGTACTCACAGCGTGGATAACACATGTAGAAGAACTGAACTCAAAGGTACAAGGACACTTTTGTGAATTTAAGAAAAAACACTTCCTTTATTAGGTATGTTTATACTATATACTTAAACTTGCCATTAGTACCCCTCAATACTATCACTCCTCGGTACTCCATCAATCAACCACAACTTAACATGTTACAGATTAGAATATATGCTTGAAGAAAACAATGAAAAACTACAGATTAGAGAATTATTTGTGGAACAAAACATAATCCGCAACAGATTAATGAGTGCATTGAGAGCTCCAAGATTATGGCGAGGTGATTTGAAAAACTACCATGAAACAACAAGAAACCTATTGGTGTTGTTATTATGAAATAATATTTAATTTAAATTTAGTAGCCAAGTACGAACACATGTGAGTTTCATAACCTTTTGTATTCAACTAATGAGCTTAAGACATTTATAACGTATTAAGACATTTATTAATCCTGGTGCACTGTGAAACTTGGCCAAGTTGGTCAAGTTTCGGGGACGTGGGGGAGTAATCTATAGAGTGCACTGTGATGAATGTGGTTTACCAGCTGTAGAGTGCACGCGAACTGTGCAAGGACAGACATGAAATTGGGAGTTAAGTAATTTTACCTTCAGCGATAAAACAGTGTGTTGGGTTGGGACTATCATTAATCTCAAGGAAACAACGCCTGGGAGAGTCCCATTCAGGAAGCTTAGCAGTGATGTTCATGTGTCTGTGAAAGTCAGGATATCCACCAATCGTAACGCCCCAACTCAATACGTCCACCATCTCAAAACAGGTTCCCTGCACATTAAACGAATACTAATTTCCAGAATTGACATGCTTATGAACACCAAAAGTAACTTTAAGGCACACATACGTTCTCCCGGTTGAAGAGCTTCAAGCCGGAATTACCACTTTCTCTTAAGCGTCGACGAGTGGCCTCTATCCCTTCTGCTACGCGAGTTTTCTCCGTCTCCTTCAATTTCTGCTGAGTCAATTTCCCGCTCTCTGACTCTTCCTCCTCCCATATATTTTTCGCTGCTTTCTCCAATTTCCTCCTCTTGTCCTTCTTCTTCGTCTTATTCAATTTCTGCTGAGTCAATTTTCCTCTCTCTGTCTCTTCCTCCTCCCATACATGTTTCGCTACTTTCTGCGATTTCCTCTTCTTGGCCTTCTTCTTCGTCCCTTCCTCCCTGGAAAACTATTAACGGTGAAATACAAAAATTTCCATACCAATACATAAGATCAAGCTAGATTATCTACACTCACCGATGCAAGCATCGGCGTAGGGGCTGACAATTCGCTGCGGTTCGATCTCCTCTTCCGTCTTTCGCCATGCTTGTACAATGATGAAGAGATATGTCATTCCCCTTCGATTTTTAGCTGGGTTTTTGTGTTTCGGTTGTCGGCTCATCCCATTTTTTCCCACCACGAGCCCCAGTCCATTATCATACTCCGTATGTAATACTCCTATGTACTAGATTTTGATACTCTGGGAAGAAACATGTTTAACCCTATTTTGTAGTTTGTCCAATTTTTCACCCGATTTTTGGAAATATGATAAATGTATTACAAAATTGGTAAAAAAAAAAAAATAGGGGTGTTGGACACATTGGTAAAAAAAAAACCATTTGAGTCAAATTGGTAAAAAAAGAACGCTTAGTGACAAATTGGTCAATTTTTTTAGAGTGATAAACTTTTGACCCTCGACTTTAGAATTCACGACATTTCATATTATAAGTATTGTGAAATTGACATTTGCAGTCCTTTTACTTTGATTTTGTCATCAACAGTTGAGCTCTAAAAATGTCAATTTCCGTGTTTGATAATAAGGATTGTCTACTACGTCATAGCTGGTTGAATCAACATATTGATAACAGTGGATTCTGTTATCTTTTAAAACTAACCGTTTTCTTTTTTTTTTAAGTCCGAAATAAAGTGTTAGTAACTTAACTATTTGCGATTGAATATTAAGACGTAAAATAATCATAAAAAATATGAACTAAAAATATATCTTAACTTTATTTCTTTTATTTTTATTAAGTCCTTCAAAAGGTTTTAAAAATTATATTAACATTTATTTTAAATAATCATATGGAGTAGAGTTGTGGAAGAGAATTTTTAAATGGAGTAGATTTACAAGAACTAATAAATAGTCATATTTAAAATACTTATACTAAGGGAGTATATTATATGTGTGTCCTCGCATCAATGTACATGTCGTAAAAATGATAGTATTATTAATTATTTAAAATAAACGGAAACATATTTTTAAAACTTTTATCAAGACTTATTAAAAATAAAAAGAAATAAAATTAATTTAAATACATAAACTTTTAAATTCATTTTTAACGGTCACTTTACGCTTGAAAAGCTAATTGCAAATTTTATGTCACTTACATTGTATTTCAAAACGATAATGAAATCGGTTAGTTAAAAAACTAACGGAATCCGTTAATATCAATCTGCTAATACAACCGGCTATGAGCTAGCAAACAATCGTTGTTATCAAACACGATCGTTGACATTTTTAGACCTCCACTTTTGATGACAAAATCAAAGTAAAAGTACTGCAAAAGTCAATTTCACAATACTTATAATATAAAATGTCGAACTTTCTAAAGTCGAGGATCAAAATTTGATCACTCTAAAAAAATTGACCAATTTGTCACTAAGCGTTCTTTTTTTTTTTACCAATTTGACTCAAATAGTTTTTTTTTACCAATCTGTCCAACACCTCTCTTTTTTTACTGATAGAGTATTAATTCTAGAGAGAAGTGAGAGCTAGAGAGAGAAAGTGAGTAACTATATTTCTCAACCCCCTATAACTAGCCCTAAGGGGTCTATTTATAGGTAAAAATGTGGATTTGGACTCCTAGCCATGGGTTTAGGAGGCCCATTACAATAATCATGCCTTTTTTGGGCGAAATAGGGCCACTAATGGGCTGTGTACAATACTTAGTAAATAAAGTAGAGATATGCATTCTGCCAGGGCGAAATCTGGCCGATGCGGTCTCATGGCCGATGCGGTCTCATGGCCGATGCGGCCCCCGGGAGCCCGGGCGTGCTTCTTGGGCCGGTACGGTTTCTGGGTGTTCTTCTGGTCATCGTTGACTTGAGTATGTGGGCCATGGGGTCCAGGCCCATATACTCTATCAGGAGTCCCCCACTTTCTGAGCCGAGGCGAAGCCGAAGCGAAAGGGAGTACTTGTTCCTTTCTGGCTGGCCGTTGCGTGAGCTCGAGGTGCTTGGTGGCCGAAGAGGTTCTGCTTTGATTTCTGGACGAAGCGGTTATTTGGGGATTCATAACCTTGATGCAGGCCGATGCGTTCCCGTGGGAGTGCTCTGAGGCCGAAGTGGTGCATTTCGTTTTTGTAGATGGTGTGATGGATTCTGAGGTGGATAAGCTAGCACGCTTTATCGTCATTTTGTTGGGCCGAAGAGGTCCCATATGTCCCTTGGCCGCAGCGATAACCTTGTGAAGTGAAGATTGATTCTTAGCTTGTCATGCAGCCGAAGCGTTTGCAAGCTGACACTTAACCCGTTTTTCACTTGTGTATGCTTGCCTTGATAAGCCGGCGCACTCCCCCCAGTGTACGTGGCCATTGCGCGCTAGTTTTATTTTTTGGGACTCTGTAGCCGATGCGATCCGTGGTGCCTTGGAGGTGAATTGTTTGTCTTCTGTTATCGGTGAGCCGTAGCGCACCCTCTTTGCTTTTAAGGCCGTTGCGCTCCGTTTTATGTTGTTTTCTTTCCTGTAGCCGAAGAATATTTGAGGCACAAGGGAGTCCTGATGTTCTTGAGCCGATACGGTACTCCATGCGTTAGTCGTGAGTCCAACCCTTAGGCGAACCTGTCCAAGGTAACCCTAAGGGAGTCCCTCAATTATAAGAGTAATATATAAAAAATAACTAATTTCAGATATATATATATATATATATATATATATATATATATATATATATATAGGAAATAAGAGTAATAATTACAAAGGGAGTCCCTCAATTATAAAAAATAAATAAATAACTAATCTACTCTATCATTATTAAGATTACACTAGATTTTCACCCGTGCTTTGCACGAGATAACACTATGTATTATCTAATTGTTATGTAAATACTTATACGTGTAATCGCAAGGATTTATGTTCATATTGTTTAGATGTGAAAGTTATATATCGAAAACTATTAGAGGATAATTTATTTATGGAGCACATATATTTTTAGAATGTTTTCCTAATAATGTAATTGAGTTATATTAGGAGACTTTCTCCTTTTTACATTGGAACCGATCCTTGCAAATCGGCACTCCTAAGTTTTATTTAAAAACTACATGTACACATATTTGATATACAGATTAATCATTCCTTTTGCTTCAGCTCAATTCTCACGTAAATCATCATGGTATCAGAGTCTCGGTAATTAACCATGCCGAACGAAGAAGGTTTTGTGTCCGGCGATAGTGCCGGACGAGGTGAATCAAATACATATGGAGAAAATCGTTGCAAACCCATGGCAAAAGTACATGCTGCTGCGGTTGAAAACTCAAAAATATCACAGCCAATTAATCATGTTGGGGACGGAAGTCTTAGATAGTCCACACCCTTGCCAGGTTTTTCTGCCGAACAATGGAAATCGTTGATTTCAACATTTGGTAACCTTTCATCCTCCTCTAATGATCGAATGGATGGTAAGTTTGATACGGATGCTTGGATAATTGATACTGGAGCCACTAATCATATCTGTGGAAATTTGACTCTATTATGTTAGATTAAAAATATTGAACCATGTACGGTTGGTCTGCCAGATGGGTAGACGGTTATGGCCAACAAAGCAGGACGTGTGATTATACCAGACAATTTAATTTTAGAACATGTTCTTTTTGTTCCAAATTTAAATTGTAATCTTATATCTGTTTCACAATTGAGTATCCAACCGGACTGTTTTGTTCAATTCACTCATAAGTCATAACGTATGTGTTATTCAGGACCATCTCTCGAGAAAACTAATTGGAACGGGTGAGGGGCGAAATGGACTGTATTATCTGCGGGAGGGTTTTACTGCTCGAGTTTTGACTGTTAGAGGAGGAGGTTCACAGAATAAGATTGTGGAATTGTGGCACCAGCGACTCGGACATCCATGTTCAAAGGTGATGGAAAAATTAGATCCTGTGAGTGGAATAAAGAATTCTGAGATTTTACCTTGTGATGTTTGTTTTAGAGCTAAACAAACTAGCTAGGGATCCTTTTCCGATTAGCTCTAGTACAACTCATGATGTTTTTGAATCAATACATTGTGATTTGTGGGGACCTTATCATACTCCTTCTTCATGTGGTGCTAAACAATTTTTAACTATAGTGGACGATTATTCTCGAGCGGTATGGGTTTATCTTCTTTTGGATAAAAGAGAAGTGTTTAAAATGTTCTTGTCTATCGTAGCTATGGTTGAACATCAGTTTGGTAAGAAACTTGTTGTTGTAAGGAGTGACAATGGCACTGAGTTTAATTGCTTAAAAGATTTTTTCCGTCAAAGTGGCATTATTTTTCAAACATCCCGTGTTGGTACACCCCAATAAATGGACGTGTTGAACGCAAGCATAGACATATTTTAAATATAGCTCGTGCGTTGAGATTTCAGGGGCATCTATCGATTACTTTTTGGGGCGAATGTGTATTAACTGCGGCACATCTTATTAATCGCACTCCTTCTGCTGTTCTGGAATATAAGACACCATATGAAGTTTTATTTGGTGTCAGACCCTGCTATAAATCTTTGCGTGTTTTTGGTTGTCTGTGTTATGCCTTTAATATGAAATCAAAAGGTGACAAATTCACGAGTCGGAGTCGCAAGTGTGTTTTTGTGGTATATGCTTTTGGAAAGAAAGGCTGGACGGTTTAATATGAAATCAAAAGGTGACAAATTATCATACAACTCTAATTAAAAAAATAATTTCCTTACAAAAAAAAAACAATAAAACAATACTCCAGGTCATAAGGACGGAACCAAGTGTTAGCTAGTGGTGTCAAATGACACCACTTAAATTATTTAGTCATAGTATATAAATATAGATCGAAAGTATAAAAAATGACACCTCTATTTTTTATAAACAGTGTCAATATATTAAAACATCCCTCCCTATCTCACAAATTGTTCATGTATGATTGAAATAACAATGTTGATTAAGTATGCTCATCTCATGCTTTAGAAGTTTCTCTTGTATTTGCATATATTACTTCCCTTCTAAGTTTGAACTTCTTATATAGCATGATTAAGAAAAAGGGAATACTGTCAAATAAGTCCTCGAACTTTCATAAAAAAGTCAATTAAGTCCTTCTATAAGAGACTCTGTCCGGCCGTCGCGATTTGGGGAGGTTCCCGGTGAAATTTTTTGATGAAATTTTTTGAGCATCTTAATCATCAAATCTAGTTTACTCATACCAAATTTCAGCTAAAAATTAAATTGGGAACACATTCAAATTAATCCGAGAACGCAA